CAGAGTGCATGAAAGTAGGTGAAGATGTAACACTTGCATTATCATGTTGATCAGATAGGTCTATTTCTTCTGGTAATCTTAAATTTTTTTCAAATGATGAACTTTCTGTATCTTCAAATAATAAAGTAGGCTGATGAGGTGCAGTAGGCCTAGTACTTTCATCTGATGTGTTGTTTGCTGGTAATAGTTTCTTAGTGATCAGTATAGCTTCTTCATCAAGTCCCTGTTCCTTCCATTCTGTAGTCACTACTGCATTGTGCTGTGATAGTTTACGAAATGAATTAACTTGTACAGCTGCATCAATTACACCAGTACTAAGAGAAGGACCTGTATCAAGAGATTGATTGAGGAGTCTCTTCTTTAATGTACTCTTACCAGCACCAGGAGGGCCTGTCAATATACACTTAACAACATGTATTAATGCTATACCACTGGATTGACGAATATGAAGAAAATTAGTAGCCTTCCTATCAATACCCTGAGTATTACAACCTTTAACGTCAATGAGATAATCGACAATGTCCATATGACTTTTAGTAGGAGGTTTATGATGAAAAGCTAAATCTAATGGCCTTTTATTATGATAACTTTTAGCTTCAATGTTACATTGTGGATGATTAGTAAGAAATTGAACAGTTTCAAAATTACCATTTAAACATGCCGCATGTAATGGTGTATAGCCATTCCTCCCTTCAGCATTAACATCACAGTGTTTATCAATCACAAGATGACGTAGAATTTCTACATTTCCAGATTCACATGCTTTGTGTAGTGGTCTGTTATTCCAATCATCTTCAGCTTCAATATTACATTGTGGATGATTAGTCAGAAGTTTAACAATTTCAAAATGACCATTATCACATGCAAAATGTAATGGTGTATAGTTACTCCACCCCGCTTTAGCATTAACATCACAGTGTTTGTCAATCACAAGATGGCGTACAATGTCTATACTTCCTGATTCACATGCTTTGTGTAGTGGTCTATCATTGGATAAGCTTTTAGCTTCAATATTACATTGTGGATGATTAGTCAGAATTTTAACAATTTCAAAATAACCTTTTTGACATGCATGATGTAATGGTGTATAGTCACTCCACCCCTCTTTAGCATTAAGATCACAATGTTTGTCAATCACAAGATGACGTACAATGTCTACATTTCCTGATTTACATGCATTTATTAATGATCTCCTATCTTCATAACAATCATTTAATAGTTCCATTATATCTGGTTCTGCTAGTCGCTTTGCTGATTCCATACATTTAGATAAACCATCCTCCCTCACTTTCTTTCCTAATATTGAAACTATTTCCTTGTGTCCTTGACATGCTGCATAATAAAGTGGTTGGTTTCCTTCATTGTCTTTAGCTTCAATGTCACACTGTGGTTTAGATATCAAATATTCTACTATTGACAGTGATCCATTATAACATGCTTTATGTAATGGAGTGGACCCAGTTCCCTCTTCTCTAACATTAATATCACAGTCAGTAGATTCAATGAGATGCTTCACTATTTCTAAATATTTGATATTTGTTGCTGCTAGTAATGGAGATAAACCAGCATTGTTACTTAATTCAAATATATTATCTGTAGGTGGGGAACGTGACAGTAATAATTGAACACATTCTGTTATTCCATTAATACAAGCTAAATGAAGTGGAGTATTACCATCATTATTACTAATATAAAGTAGATCTACTCTTACACTTGCCGAGTCAACCAGACACTTTAATATTCTTGGTCCGTCAGTATTATTGGTACAACACAAGTGAAACCAATGTGTTACCTTCATCGTTAGTAGTAAAAGGAGACGCTCCAGCATCAATTAAACTAACAACACGATCAATATCACCTGAACAATAAGCAGAGAAGAGAGCAACACGAGCAACCGCATCCATTTTCGAATTACGAGCCACTCCCTAAAGCTGCTGCAGCAAGGGGGTGTGGCTAAAGTTACCTAGCAACTACACTGACCTAAAAAAGTAAAAATGTCCTCCTCTAGAACAAAAGGCAAAGAAGAGAGTTTGAGATCAAAGAAGCCACTGGATAAGAGACAGGAGACTAGAACTAAACCCTCAACAGATAAGAAGAGAAGAGA